GAATCCACCCAAACCACCACACTTGTTTAACCTGCAAGTTGCATTTCCACTATTTATTCCTAACTTTGACTCTTTTTGGGAACAGTGCTTCTAAATGTTAAGGATACTGCTGGGAACTACTTGAAGCAAAAATGTTACCCGTACTTTGTTCAAAAGGTGTTATTTATAATTGTTAGTAAAAACTAATTCCTAGACAAAGACGTAAGTGACTGTACATATGAAAATAATGCTTTTGAAAGGTGCTGCTGTAGGACAGTTCCTTTGAACCAAAGACTGCTGTTAATGTAACTGACTCACAGCTTCTTTTGAAACTGATAGTCTACGTTAAGTAGATACTTGCTCCTTCATGTTTAGTGAATGATTTAATTTCTTCAAACCCTTGTCCAGTGTGCCTATGTAGTCATTTTTTTCTGCATTAGAAAAAAATCTCATTCCCTGAAAGTTGAATCTTCATTTAGTAAAATGTAATGTGTTTTTATATCTATATTTTGTAAATCTGAGCAACTCTTCTGAGCATCTATCACATAAACTGCTGAGAAGTTTTGTAAGTGCCTTGCTACTACTTTCTTTTTTTAAAGATTAATTTTATTTTTGTAACATTTTTCAGCACAAAGAATACAAATTATTATAGAAATACTGTGATTTTAAGGAGGAAAAATAAGTTGGTTGATACAGAAGGGAGGTTAACGTGGGTTTAGTTTTTTGGGTTTTTTTTAATAAATAGAAGGACCTGTATTTCACTGGTGTACCCGGAGTAGTTCATTATAGTAGTTACTACAGTCCAGGTAGAGACTAGTGCAAGGAATTTAGGTTTTCCATTAACTAAGTAACAAATAGCACAATGTAGTATAGTTTTGTGCTGAACAGTATTTTACCTTTAATGATACAGATTATCAGCTAAGAAATTGGGAACTGCCTAGTGACCTTTTATGTGAATCTCTTTCAGGCTCCTTGTTGGGCATACGTCCTGGGTGCAGTAGGACTTTTTATCTACCAGTCTCTGGATGCCATTGATGGGAAGCAAGCCAGAAGAACAAACAGTAGTTCTCCTCTAGGAGAACTCTTTGATCATGGTTGCGATTCTATTTCCACAGGTAGCCTTAACCTACTGTTACCCATCCTAAGTTTTTAAAGTTACCTGTTTTCAAGAGGAGCGGATTAATCACAGTTTTGTAGAAGAGGGAAAGGACCTCTGGAGAACATCTAGTCCAAGCCCCTGATCAGAGCAGAGTCAGCATGTTCCTTTCTTTTAGGATAACTTCACCATCTCCTGGTCACTGCAGCCAAGGCTGCCCCTGACCTTTGCATCCCTGACCAGTATCGGGGAGGATATTTCAGAAGTACCTTTGGCAGATGTTGGGTAACGTGTGTTCTGCTCTTACTGTGCATCCTCACGTGCAGTGCTCTTTGAAAGAGCTAGGTGGTGAACAAATAATTCAGTTAGAGGATGCTTGGAGATTTTTTACGGTACATAGCCTGTGTTTTCCAGTAGGGTACAGGGGATGCCTCATAAAGGATTCTAAGAACCTGAAAGACTGATGCTGGCATGTGAAACTAAGGATTCTGCTTTAGGAGTGAGGCGCCAAAATATCAGTTTGGTAACAGAGCATCCAGCCTGGCACTTAGGAGAAGGATAATTTATATTCCTTAGAAGAATGAGTTTGAAAAGAGTTGATTTGGAGTCCTTAAAAAGTAAGCCTTGCTCAGTTTTACTTTCCATAACTTAGCTGCTGCTGGTCGCAGTGCCTGTACTTCTGTAAAAGCTTACTGGCTGAAATATTTGCCCTGGGATTTGGTAAGTTCTTTACACCTCACTTCCCAGGGAAGTGCAACTGCCAGTGTCTCTGAGCTGAGCCCTTCAGTTGCAGCCATCCCTTGCAAAGAACATGAGATGACAAGGAAAGAAGGGAGAATGACCACTATAGGTTAGAAGGCAGGGCCCCTGCCTGGGAGAAAAGGAGTCTGGTGTTTTGGTCTCTCCTGCCAGGACTGTCCCTGAGATTAGCTGCTCAGTGAAGTATCAGTCATGTCATTACTTTGTTACAATGATGTAAAATGCCTTGTGATTTATTTTTTATTATTTATTTATTCTTAACTGCCAGCACAGAGGGTCTATGACTAACATGTTCATTTCTGCTTTTCAGTTTTTGTTGTCCTTGGATCCTGCATAGCAATCCGACTAGGAACAAATCCTGACTGGTTGTTTTTCTGTTGTTTTGTGGGACTGTTCATGTTCTATTCTGCTCACTGGCAGACATATGTCTCAGGCATACTAAGGTTTGGAAAGTAAGTAGGTATCTTTAGAAGTACATGTGGCTTAATGTCTGAGACTGCTAGCTACTTGATTTCCATTTCTTCCTGTTTTTTCCCCTGCTCTCTCTTCCTCTCACCTTCTTCCTCATCTCCCTTCTGCCCTAGCAGACTTGTGTTTTACCTGGCAAGTACTTTAAAACTGCATAATACTGAGCAGAGGACTTGTTTTAGCAGCTGATTTTGGCTATATCTGCTTTATTTGCATGCCTTTGGCTCTTTTGTCTGCAGATTTGTTCTTGGAACCCATACAAGCACCATGCAGGCTCAGGCCAGAGAGGTCTTGCCTGCGGTGTAAACAAGTACTCTGTGTAGGAGTAGGGACAAAGCAAGCATCTCCCTCCCTTCATAATCTCCCAGCCACAGAACAGTTCCAGCCCAGGAGACTCTGAACCATGTGCATGTTTAGAGAAATTACCCTGATCATGACTTTCTCTCCCATAGACATCTTCAGTCTTCCTTCAAAGAAACTCTCTGCATCCATTGCATCCTTTGTCAAGGGGTTCCACAGAGCTATGGCAGTGCTTGTAGAATTACCCCAGGCTTATGTGGGGGCTTTGCTTTTAGTCTGGCTCATACTGGTTTTGTGTTAGGTCACAGTTTTATTGATTGCTGTGATGCTGTTCATGATTTTGTAGAAATTTCATCTGTTCTCACTGCAGTGTAGGAGGAGGAGTCAATGACATTCAGGTAGAAGATAACAATTTCAATTTAACTCCTAATAGTGTAGGGACTGCTGCTATTTTTGCTGGTTTTAAACAATAAGATGTGCTTTAGTAATGATTTCTGAAATGAGGAAAGGAAATCTCAGAGACTTATGTAGCAGCAAAATTGGAAATACATAACAGATGAAGGCTCTCCTTCTGATAATCCTAGTCACTTGCTAAGTCACCTGCTTATAGTCCTACTTAGCTCTGGCCTGCAGGAAACACCTTAGCAAATGTACATGACAGTGGACTTCGCTGAAGGGAGATGCACTGTGCCATGAGCTCTGGGATTTTGCATACATGATTGCTTTTCTGTGCCCTTTGTTCTTGCATAAAATGTAAGAATGTACATCAGGAAGGCACTGAGACTCCTGTACCACATTAAAAAAAATCTTAATTAAAACCTGAATGGCTTCTATGTAAATATAGTGATAGTGCATATACAAGCAGTTCAGAATGGCCTGGTGTTCCGTGCTTCCTCATTGAAGTAAACGGACACAACTTTTCTACAAAATAACTTATTTCTGTTTAGTGAAAACACGTCAGTTTTTTCAAGGCTCACAATTTTCTTTCTCTTAAGCATAGAGATGAGAGTTTAAATGAAGGCAACAGTATATTGCACTAAATGTGATCATACATAACAACATGGGTGGAAGTTTTCACTGATGCCATTCCTGAATTAGCAGCATTTGATTTTAGAAGTCAGATGACAGATGAGAGCGTCCTAGTGCTGATGGCCAGGAAGGACCTGAGCAGCTGGGTACTGTGCCACTGTCAGGTTATGTAGAATCATAGAATGGTTTGGGTTGGAAGGGACCTTAAAGATCATCTAGTTCCAACCCCTGCCATCAGCAGGGACACCTTCCACTAGACCAGGTATGGCACAGTGGCTGATTAAAATGTTTGGACTCTGATTTGGGCTGTGTTGTAACTGACCATCTGAGCCTCTGTAAAATTAAGAACTAAACTTTGGCACATAGAATGACTCAGCTTGGAGTTTGCGCCTCCTCCCGCCACCAGCCACCACAGTGCAGTACAGCTTAGAAATCCAGGTTTACATAGTACAGAGTGTGAGCTCTGAGACTTGCACTTGCGTATGGATGCTTTTGCATGACGTAACCAACAAGTTCAGTGTGCAGCTCCAGCAGTGACTGGGCACATGTAACATTTCATCCCTGGTAGAGGGGGAAAAGCCCCCTCCCACCAGCGCTGTCCCGTTTCTCCCCAGCACAGACTAACTGCTTAAAGAAATGTTGTATTTTAAATATCCATTATCACTGTTTGCTGGTAACTTCAGTACAAAGATCAGGTACCTGTCTCAAAAGCTTTGGTGGCATAAAAGGTACCTTAGGGGTGCACACTTACTTTATTTATTTTAAAGCTTTATTGAAAGTATTGACTCTTTCTCTTGAGCCTCTGCTGAACTCTTTTTATATATTCAGGTCTTCTCAAAACATTTCAGCAGTCAAATACAGTAAGACAGAGTTGGGCTGTCTTGTCTGAGAACAAAAGGTGGAATACAGAGTCTAAACTTTTGGGGCCATATAAGGCAAACTCTTTTAAAAAATTATTGTTTGGAAAAAAGCAAGATATCACTTATGTCCTCTGAAACAGGACAGATGCTTAGCTATCCACTGACTCAGTCCTCAAAATAATGTCCTTGTGTTTTGCAGGCTGTCAAGTTTTCATGTTATGATGGTTTAAAGAAATCTTCTCTGTCCCAGCCTGCTCTTCATGGTCCATACTTTGTATGATAGGCTTTTAATGGAATGTTTGATTGCATTTACTGCGAGCTTGCCTTCAAGTTTGATTTGTTACTTAACACAGCAACAAGTCTGTAAATTTATACAAAATTCTCAAATAGTCGACAATGTATTCATTAAAATTTTTCCCCTATTAAAATTATACGTAGCTTGTGATAGATAAGGAGTATAGGTTTAATTTATATCCGAACCAAAAATGCGTGTCTCCATATAGAGTGCCTTTCTCAGTCAAGGAAAATAATATTCTATATACATTGAGGTAATTTGAAGTACTTGTAAGGAGATAATTTATAGTCACTGTTTGTTGTTTCCTTCCCCACCTGCCTTACACTGACAGCAAAAAGACCTTTTCTTTAACTAACTCTCTCTTTTTTCCCTCCGTAGAGTTGATGTCACTGAAGTTCAGATAGCCATAACGGTGCTGCTCCTGGTGTCTGCGTATGGTGGCCCAGCAATATGGGACTATAAGGTAAGTGTATTAAGTATTCAGAGTCCCTCTTGAGTATTCGGTTTCTGTTAGATGTTCCCAGTTCCTGAGGTATTTGAAGCTATCCTGTGCCAGTGCCACCAACACCTACTAGTTGCCTTGCGTTGTGTTTTAGCTTATTGTACAAACGTAGGTTATTTTTATGCTGTAGTTAACTTGGGTATCATGGTGTGACTTCCTATGCACAAATTTAGAGCTACATAGAGGAAAAAAAGACCCCATCTGCCATATATAAACTTCTGATCTGGAATTAAAACTCTGCAGATCCTTCACAGGTAGTTTTTGCTCTAGTTTTATTTCTTTTGTATATTTTATTGTAAGGTATACATTTCTGTTCAGTTAAATGATTTATAGGATGCTTTATTTTAAAACTTAAAGACTAAATGCTTTAGTTTAACAAAACCATGGGATGAGGTTAAGAGGGTTTTTGGTTAAGTAATCCATATTTAGATGCTGATGGAGATGCACTGATTTTTAAGTTATGTCAGAACTGACATAAATGTAAGTATCTATATTTAAAGAATTGTTTTCTGTCCAAAAGCATTTCCCTATCTCTGGCTTTTATTCTGATCTGTAAAGATGCACTGTACTGGACAGTATCAGAAGTACGTTGCATTGACATCTTCATCCTTTGCTCAGAACGTATAGTTCTGCTTGGTTATAGCACATGGAAGAGCTGAGACCATCCCATGCTATTGCTAACCAATGCAAATTAATCTAAATACAAACCAGCAAGTAATTCAAATTAATTCATGAGTTTACTCAGCAATTAAGAAATGTTTAGCTAAATTTTGTTTCCTTTCCCCATCCTGCAAAATGCTTTTTATTCTATTTTCAAACAGCTTATTTTCATGTTGGAAAATAAAGAAAGTGCATTAGACTTTAATTATGATTGATTTTTCTTCAGTATTAAAATCTGTGGTAGTTATGCTGTATCTCAAAACAATCTATACTCAAAAATATAGTCAATGGTTTCAATTTATTACTACTTCTTTTTTTTTTTTAAATCCTCTGCTGCCTTTGGAAGTTTCCTTGAAACTGCAATTGATTCTGAAAGGTAACTGTTTAATTAAAATTTGTATCTGGAGACTATTCTAAATGCAAAGATACAGCATACAAATAACATGTACCAAAACACAAAGCAGGCAGATGGTGTTTGTGTTTCCTGTGGCTCAGTGTTGTGTTACCCAGTAAAATAGAAGGAACCGTCCTTCTCCCCTCTCCCATGCCTTGGTGATGCAGCTGTCTGTGTCAAGGTTTTGCTTATGTAGTAAAAATATTTGAAGAACATTGTACGGGTAAACAGAATTTCAAGACCAGAACTTAAGTGCTCAAAAGTTGAGTTTAAACATTACAAAAGAAATTAGTTGTCTTCTCAGTAAGGAAATGAATTCTAAACACTGTCCCCCTGGGCTTGTTCCTGGGAAAGTGACAGTTGAAATAAAACAATTATGTAGTAGGTATCAGTAGCTTTTTAAATTACTTTTTTTAAAAAGTGTTATCCTTAACTTTTAATATCTTTCTCTTGTTTTTTTTCCTGCTAAGGTCCCTATGGTGGGCTTAGAACTGAAGTTCCTTGCAGTTTTTGGCATACTGTGTGGGACAGCACTTTCTTTTTTCAATTATTTCCGTGTCATCTTTGGTGGAGGGGTTGGAAAGAATGGATCTACAATAGCAGTAAGTTGCTTTAAAAATCTGAATGAGGTTTGAATAATTTTTGCCCGTAATTTATGGCATTTCACATGATCGTAAGGGTTTTATCTGTTTAAGCATTTAAGCAGACAAGCATGTGAGTGTTGGATGGCTAAAGCAAAGACTTGATTATCTGCCTTCTCTGTACCTGTTACTGGATTTCTCCTGTCGCAGGAACTGGCAGTGAATTTTCTTACGAACTTGGTTAGTGGCCACTGCAAAGGAAACTTACAGCATTGGCATAATGCTAATGGACTTTCCCTGAGTTTTGACAACTCTGGTTTTGTTTATTGGGATTTGCAATATGTATAAAGTCTGGACCTTACTGTGTGACTGAAGCCTAAGACAAATTTTCTGCCCATTTGTATTTCAGGGAACAAGTGTTCTTTCACCCGGCCTGCACATTGGACTGCTTATCACACTGGCCATTATGATCTATAAAAAGTCTGCAACTCAGCTGTTTGAAAAACATTCTTGCCTGTATGTCTTGACATTTGGATTTGTGAATGCTAAAATCTCACAGAAGTTGGTGGTAAGGAATCTTGTTTCAGTCTTAAACCTCCTAAAACTAACCTAGTTCTTGGCTTAATGCTCGCTGGATCCCTGAGCACTGTGCAGATTTTTCCATTCTGCTCTGCCACTGTATAACCAGTTTCATTATGACCAAGACAGTGAACTACAGAGAAATTATATATGACACCGATGCAAACACTTCCTGTTCAACTTCCTGTTGAATGTATTGGTTAGAACTTGCAGTTTTGTTTAACTTGCTCCCTACAAATGTACTGTCTGTCTTTAACATCATAACTGTGGTCCCTCAAGCCTTACTAACAGTGCTGTGACTTCAGATTTAATTATCAGAAACAGGAATTTACTTTAATCATTAAAATGAAGACATAAACTTTTCTATCTTTCTCTCTTCTGTAATTAAAAACCTCATCAATTCGTTTAAAAAAAAATAATCTGCCTTACTACATATGTGCTAACAACAGTTATCCAGTCGCCTGATTTTTCAAACACTAGAAAATAGGTATTCTACAGACTTTACTGCCAAACAAACAGGAGTTCACTTAGTAAGCTACTAACTTGGTTCAAGAGAGAGAATGCTGATAAGAGAGAGGGCTGAGCCTTAGGACTGAACTTGTCTCTTCTGTCAAACACCTTGGCTCCCCTGCTCGTTCAGAGGACACCGGGTCCTTGTAACCAGCTGTATGTATGTCAGCTCGCTCACGGGCGCTTCTGAGCAAGCCGTGATCTCCTTGATGCTTTACGTGTAGCTTTGAGGATAGCCTGCTCCAGGCAAATCTGTAAAGGGAGTGGGGAAAGGATTTCGTGGGTTTAGCTCTCACAGTATTCGGATACTTTTTCAGGAGGCCTTGTGCTTCAGGCACTCTGGAGAGAGCAAACTGCAGTAAAAGCTGAAGGCGTGGCCAGGTGAGAGGCCCAGTGGAGCCATGAGCCAAGGTCTGTGCAGTTTGTGTGGCTGTGCCAGAGCTGCTCCATGGGCACTAACCCTGCACAGCTGTTGCACATCATGCC